CCTACCCGTTGCGCCCCTGGTCTGGTCTGGACCTCGGCGCGCTGCTTCCCCTCTCCTTCCTCCCACGATGTACCAAGCCCTGTCTGGACCCTGGTGTGGGAGACCCCGAACCTGGAGAGGGGCTGACGTCTGGGTCTGGACTGGAGCCGCTGACCGGAGCTGGACTGGGCACCGGTGGAGCGGATTTCTCTGGCTCAGGACTGGAGCCGCTGACAGGAGCTGGACTGGGCACCGGTGGAGCGGACTGCTCTGGCTCCGGAGTGGAGCAGCTGACCGGAGCTGGATTAGACCCCAGTGGAGCGGACTGCTCTGGCTCCGGAGTGGAGCAGCTGACCGGAGCTGGACTAGGCACCGGTGGAGCGGACTGCTCTAGCGCCGGAGTGGGGCAGCTGACCTGAGCTGGACTAAACCCAGGTGGAGCGGACTACTCTGGCTCGGGAGTGGAGCAACCGAGTGGAGCCGGACCAGGCACCGGTGGAACGGGCACGGGCCGTGCCGGGCTGGACACACGCACCACTGGTCTGGTGCGAGGAGCAGAAATGGGCCGGACCGGACTAGGAACACGCACCACTGGCTTGGTGCGGGGAGCAGGTACGGGTCGTACCGGGCTGGCGACACGCACCACTGGCTTGGTGCGAGGAACAGGAACGGGCCGGACTGGGAAGACACACCACTGGTCTGGTGCGAGGAGCAGGAACGGGCCGGGCCGGACTGGGGACACACACCACTGGCTTGGTGCGGGGAGCAGGTACGGGTCGTACCGGGCTGGCGACACGCACCACTGGCTTGGTGCGAGGAACAGGAACGGGCCGGGCCGGACTGGGAACACGCACCACTGGTCTGGTGCGAGGAGCAGGAACGGGCCGGGCCGGACTGGGAGCACGCACCACTGGTCTGGTGCGAGGAGCAGGAACGGGCCAGGCCGGACTGGACACACACACCACTGGCTTGGTGCGAGGAGCAGGTACGGGCCGTACAGGACTGGTGAGGTGCACTGGTGACACAGTGCATAGAACCGGAGCAGGATATACTGGACCTTGGAGGCGCACTGGAGACCAGGAGTGTTGTGCCGGCACAACCCGTCCTGGCTGGCTGCCCACCTTCGCACGACACATGCAGGGCGCTGGCACAGAACGCACTGGGCTGTGCATGCGCACTGGCGATACAGTGCGTAGTGCGTATCTCCGCATACATAGGTTCCTCAATTAACCCACGCTCCTTATGTTGCCTAACCAGCTCCTCTCTCCGTGCATCTACTTCCTCCTTCTCCCTACGAGCCTCCTGCAGTGCCTCCTCTTGAATGGAGCTCTTCCGCTCTATTCTCGCTATCAGCCCCCGTATTATGGTGGCCTCCTCTCTTACCCTGCAGATCCGATCCTTCTCTCTCTCTCGGCACTCCTCCTCCAGTGAGGACTCTTCCAGGAGCCCCCACGAGTTAGGGAACAGAAACTCATCGTCGTCGTCATCCTCCGACTCCTCAGTGTAAAACTGTTCCCACTCTTGTTCCCATGGTCGTAGGGACTCAACCTGGAAACCCACTGGGTGCAGGGGTCGGGGCTCTTCTCTCTCGCTCCCCGACCACCCCTTTAGCCCCCCAAAAAATGTATTGGGGCTGCCTCTCGGGCTTCCTCCTCGGCCGGCGCCTTCTGTGTTTCCGTTGCTCCTCTCTAACCCGGGCCTCCACTGTCTCCTCCCAAGGACGGCGATCCATCCCAGCCTGAATCTCCTCCCATGTCCAAGATCCCTTTCCGTCCAGGATCTCTTCCCATGTCCAGGATGTCTGCTCCTGGGCACGCTGCTTGGTCCGTGTTTGGTGGGATCTTCTGTCACGTTCGTTGAAGGACGGGTCAGACCAAGGCGCAGCGTGAAATGCATACATGTTTATTACAACGATAAACACACGAACAAAACAACAAAACAACGTAACGTGAAGTCCTCAGGCTAAACACAAAACAAGCCTCTACACGGAACAAGATCCCACAACTAACGATTGCAAACAGGCTGCCTAAGTATGATCCCCAATCAGAGACAACGAGCGACAGCTGCCTCTGATTGGGAATCACACCCGGCCAAACCTAGAATGAGAACATAGAAATAACAACATAGAACTCCACACCCTGACTCAACATACTAGAGTCCCATAAGTCAGGGCGTGACACTTTATTTTTCTGTGCTTTGTTTAGACAGATAAGAAACAGCAGGAGACCGAGAAGGAGTGAAAGTGGGACAGGCAGAAGCAGGAACTGAACCCCCGACTTCTGGGGCAGTAAGATCACACATTTCTTTGGAATTTTAACTACTCAACCACACAGCCACATACTGTGTGAGGAACTTGGGCCCCCAGAGTGATTTAATCCATCTGAACAACCTTCCGTGCCATGTACCATAATCTGAATATAAAGACTGAGGTCAAATACATTAGCATAATGGATGACTGGTCGATCGCAGTGAGCCCTGGGCTGACATTAGCAGTCAATGAATGAAATGTAATGTCTTACTTTATCAATATAAAAATGTGAAAGATCTATTAATGTTAAGTCATTTGATAATTTGCAAAGAAAAGATAAAGCATTTGAAGCTCCAAATCATGTCTTTAAAAAGTAATTTTGTACTCATTAATTATTATCCTGGACAAAACTATCTTCTCTTGTGTTCTTTGTTTGAGCATAATACTGTTCATTTGACCTTTTGAAATTACCATTGAGGAATATGTCAACACACCATATAAGAGCAGGGAATATAGGCCTAAAATAAAAGGAGGGACAGCCACTTACATTATGTCACACTCTGGCTCCAGGACTTGTGTATTTGAGCCAGGGTGTATGTTGTTTTGTTGGGTTTTGGGTGATGTTTTATGGTTGCATGTCTGTCACGTTTATTTCTAGGTGGGGAGTTCTGTTGTGTCTATTTCTAGGTTGTGGTTGTGTTTCCTTGTTTGTATTCAATGACTCCCAATCGGAGGTAACGAGTGTCAGCTGTCGGCTCGTTATCTCTGATTGGGAGCCATATTTAAGATGTAGGTTTTCTTGTGTTAGTTGTGGGTTTTTGTTCTATGTTCAGTCGGTGTACTGAGGACGTTACGGATCGTGTTTTGTTTTGTCGTTATTTCACATTAAAGTCATGTTCACTCCCAACGCTGCGCTTTGGTCCTACTTTATTGGCGATCGTGACACATTATTTGGAAACTCCAGAAGAAGGGATCTAATTCAAGACAGGATTAGAAACACCATAATAGTGTTTAGGAGCTTTAGAGAGAGGAAACAGCCCAATGTCTACACCAACATGTCAACCTATCTCCCCTGGATCAAGAAAGTCACTGGACTGAAATGAGGCAATTCAATTACTAATAAACATACATTACTTTTTCAAACAGAAAATATTGACTGAGAGTGTGTGTGTGTTTATTAGTAATTGAATTGCTTCAAGTCTTTTTCCACAAGTCACTACTGACATGGCCAACAGGGTTATTATCATACAAGTCTTTAGACAGATATACAGTATAGGCTACATGGAAACATGTGGTTAAGACAACAAAGTAGCTCTGGTTACATGAAGGCGACACAATTCTCTGAAAGCACACCACTGCTCCTTTTGAATGCCAGAAGCTTTGGTCATTGTGGTCCATCTATCTGATTCGGAGTCTGCTAAGTACGGCACTAACACACTGCAAACTTAGCAGGTGCAAAAACTGGCGCACAGTAAGACACATAGCTTTTGAATGAGGGAGCAAGTATATACTGTATAAATAGGTAGTAACAAGAGATAAACTGGTGGGATTCCCTGGTGTTATATAAAACACTAGGTTAGTGTTGCACGTAGTAACAATGGAATATAATACCTTTTTTTTATCAACAACAAAAAAACATTGAATGTGGGAAACTAGGCCCATGTCTATTGTTTAAACTGGGGAAACTGCACCATCTAAATAACTTTAATAAATATTTCTGATTCTCTTGTCTGCTCTGCTGGATATATTACAGTACCTGAGACACACGTTTATTGTCACGAGTCTTGCCCTGGAGGCTGAACTGGGTGGTTTCCGCTAGATGGACCAGCTGCAAAGTCAAATGTAATGAAAACAAAAATGTGTTCTTTGGTCTTAATTAGGTTAGGGTTAGGCATTAGGGTTAGCAGTTTGGTTAAGGTTATGGTTAGGTTAGGTTTAGGTTTCAAATAAGATTGTATGGCTTGTGGATGTTCCAGCTAGTGACCAATCTACAACGCTGCCTCCAATTCATGAGTCATCTCAATAAATGCCAACCTGCATGAAAAACGAGACAACAAGCATTTATTTTTCAAACTAAACACAAGCTTTTCATTAACAAAAAATTATATGTATGTTTAATCTAAGAAAGTGGGTTTACTAACATTTTACTTAGGCTACCACTAGGTAGGAAGGCTGTTCTCCTTTTGAATGTGAATATTCACGATTTGGTGGGAGATCTATACAAGGTGTCAGTCAAGGTACGACTGAAAAGTTCACTCTGTGGTAGATGAGATCCTGTGAAGCTAGGTGGTGGTACATCCTGTGAAGGGTTGGAAGAGACACTCAGCCCTTCTAAACCCACCAGTCTGAGAAGAGGAAGACTCCATCACACACACACACTCTCAAATACCTTCTCCGACACATTCTCTGACAACATGGCTGCCACATCTGTCCTGCTCCTGCTCCTCATTTTTCTGCCTACTCCAGGGCTCACAGCTAAGACCAAACTTCACCTTTGACCTCTACTCATTCAGCGGTCAGAGGGCAGAGGGGCACAACTCTTTGACTCTATACTCTAGAGGTCTCTACTCCGCAGAGAACTGCAAAGGGACAATGTGGACATAGCTAATACACATAGAAGGTCTTGTTTGACTTTTACAATGTAAGCTGGCGGATTCCTATTATAAAATTAAACAATTTGTTTATATGGTAAAGAGTATAACAATGTGATGAACAACAATTCAAGTCCTTGAATTGACGTGATTACAGCCCAAGTTCTCTGTGTCTCTCCCAGCTCACCAGGACTCTGGCATAGTGAATGGAGTAGAGGCCAGACGCAACTCAAAACCCTACATGGTCTCTGTACAGGCAAAGAAGACACATATCTGTGGGGGTGGGGGGGGGGGGTCCTCGTGTCTGAGAACTTCGTCATGACAGCCGCCCACTGCTACACTTGGTATTGAACTATTTAGATGAGAAAATGACTTCTAAAAGTTTATCAGACTAAAACATACTGTATAGCTAATATACAGATTACAATGCATTCGGAAAGTATTCAGACCCCTTGACTTTTTCCACATTTTGTTACGTTACAGCCTTATTCTAAAATTGATTAAAACAATTGTTTTCCCTTATCAATCTAATAAAAAGCATGAGCTGGCGCACACCCTTATCAATCTACACACAATACCCCATAATGACAAAGTGACAACAGGTTTTTAGAAATGTTTTCAAATGAAAAAAGAAATACCTTATTTACATAACTATTCAGACCCTTTGCTATGAGACTCGAAATTGAGCTTAGGTGCATCCTGTTTCCATTGATCATCCTTGAGATGTTTCTACAACTTGATTGGAGCCCACCTGTGTAAATTCAATTGATTGTACATGATTTGGAAAGGCACACACCTGTCTATATAAGGTCCTACAATTGACAGTGCAAGTCAGAGCAAAAACCAAGACATGAGGTCAAAGGAATAGTCAGTAGAGCTCCGAGACAGGATTGTGTCAAGGCAAAGATCTGGGGAAGGGTACCAAAACATTTCTACAGCATTGAAGGTCCCCAAGAACATAGTGGCCTCCATCATTCTTAAATGGATGAAGTTTGGAACCACCAAGACTCTTCCTAGAGCTGGCCGCCCGGCCAAACTGAGAAATCGGGGGAGAAGGGCCTTGGTCAGGGAGGTGACCAAGATCCCGATGGTCACTCTGAAGGAGCTCCAGAGTTCCTCTGTGGAGATGGGAGAATCTTCCAGAAGGCCATTGGTGCAGCACTCCACCAGTCAGGCTTTATGGTTGAGTGGCCAGACGGAAGCCACTCCTCAGTAAAAGGCACTTGACAGCCTGCTTGAAGTTTGCCAAAAGGCACCTAAAGACTCTCAGACCATGCAAAACAAGATTTTCTGGTCTGATGAAACCAAGATTGAACTCTTTGGCCTGAATGCCAAGCGTCACGTCTGGAGGAAACCTGGCACCATCCCTACGGTGAAGCATGGTGGTGGCAGCATCATGCTGTGGGGATGTTTTTCAGAGGCAGGGACTGGGAGACTAGTCAGGATCGAGGGAAAGATGAACAGAGCAAAGTAGAGAGATCCTTGATGAAAACCTGCTCCAGAGCACTCAGGACCTCAGACTGGGGCGACGGTTCACCTTCCAACAGGACAACGACCCTAAGCACACAGCCAAGACAACGCAGGAGTGGCTTCAGGACAAGTCTCTGAATGTCCTTGAGTGGCCCAGCCAGAGCCCGGACTTGAATCAGATCGAACATCTCTGGAGAGACCTGAAAATAGCTGTGCATCGACGCTCCCCATCCAACCTGACAGAGCTTGAGAGGATCTGCAGAGAAGAATGGGAGAAACTCTTCAAATACAGCTGTGCCAAGTTTGTAGCGTCATACCCAAGAAGACTCGAGGCTGTAATCACTGCCAAAGATGCTTCAACAAGGTACTGAGTAAAGGGTCTGAATACTTATGTAAATGTGATATTTCAGCTTTTTATTTTTAATAACTTTGCACAAACTTCTAAAAACCTGTTTTTGCTTTGTCATTATGGGGTATTGAATGCAGATTGATGAGGGAAAAAAACTATTTAATCCATTTTAGAAAATGGCTGTAACGTAACAAAATGTGGAAAATGTCAAGGGGTCTGAATACTTTCCGAATGCACTGTATAATCAATAATATGTGGTTCTGTGGGGGTATCTGTCTATTAAAAGTTGCACATTTCCATTAATTTGTTATATATTTTAGAATGCTCAGCAAGTAGACTGTTGTTTCCTCTTCACAGGGGTGTGAATCTGATGGTTGTGTTTGGTGCTCATGACATTTCAAGGCAGGAAAGCTCTGCTCACAGGATTGATATGAAACATTACCACATACATCCTGGTTACAACTCTAAGACACTTCAGAACGACATCATGATGTTGCAGGTACATGACAGAGGAAGTATGCACAAATATGAGAATGTCTCTTAGCTTAGCACACCATTGCCAAGGTAATAAATGCCAACAGACCTTAGATCAAATGGTGAAAAATAAACAAACATAGTGAGTTTGTTCAAATCCGGTGCAGTAATCATATATGAAAACCTTTGAAGATGAGCATAATACTGTTTTGCATAATATCATATAGCTTACTCGAGAATCGACTGTATCTAACTACAGTCATATGCTCCAAATATAAATAGTCAAAACTAAGCCGAAATGCAAAGTTGTGCAACAGATCCCTCTCTCTAAGAAAGACCAAGACATCAAGGCCAAATCCTACTGTACTGTAGCTGGATGGGGTGCCACCAAAACAGGCGGCACTGCAAACACACATCTTCTGGAGATGAATGTCACCGTTGTAGACAGAGCCTCCTGCCAGAGATCATGGGAGAACACTGCCACCATAACCCCGTCTATGATATGTGCTGGTGGTACTGCGGCTGATGATAAAGGTGTTTGTCAGGTATGGTCAAAGAATGTAGTTAAGGTATGGCCTGATAATGCATTCATTATAGAGAAGTGACTTGCCTTGCAGAGTAACTGTTTTTAACCATGTATTGCAGGGAGATTCAGGTGGTCCTCTGGTGTGTAAGGGGACAGCAGTGAGAGTTGTGTCCTTCAATGAAAAAGGAAACTGCGACAAGCCAAAGAAGCCCAACGTCTACACCAAAATATCCAAGTACCTCTCCTTGATCAAATGTATCATAAAGTATTAAGGATCAAGTATTAAGGAACCAAATGGAGACATTGTGCTCTTTAATTATTTGTTACTTTTATTTCTTGTTTTTTTTAGGGTAAGGGCTTGTAAGAAAGCATTTCACTGTAAGGTCTACACCTGTTGTATTTGGCGCATGTGACAAATAAAATTTGATTTGATTTGATTTAATAAAATGTAATTCATCAAACAGAAAATACCATCTGTCCTTCAATAAACTCAGTGTTGTGTGTGAGAAAAATATGAATGCGCGTGTAAGAGAGAGTGTATATGCTTGCACGTGAATGTGTGTATTTTAGTTAATTTCCAGTAACAGCCTGAATTCTTTTCCATCCTTCACTTCAGACCAAGGGTATGTGCAATTAAATTGATGACTGAGCTCTTTAAGCCAACAAGTATACATATTTAGACAGCTAGCTCCTCTTACATCTTCAGCTGTCTTCATCAAACTCCACCACACGTGGAAACTTGTGGTCAAGACAACAAAGTAACTCTGGTTTCATGAAGGCGACACAATGCTTTGAAACCACACCACAGTTTCTGTTCTCAGACCAGAGGACATGTTATGTCTGTCTGCCTGCCTGCCTGCTCTGTCCTCTTCTACTACTCTCTCATCTCACTGCTCTCTACTATCTCTCTCATCCTCTCTCTCCTCTATCTCTCTCTCTCTGTCTCGTCTCTTCTCTCTCTTCTGCTCTCTCTCTCTCTCTCTCTCTCTCTCTCTCCCTCTCCCTCCCTCTCCCTATGAGGTATGAAAATGTATGCACTCACTAACTGTAAGTCGCTCTGGATAAGAGCGTCTGCTAAAATGACTAAAATGTAAAAATGTATACACTACTGCAGGCTATTATGAGTATTCATGCACTTACCACCAAACAAGACTAAAAAGCCATCAGCCTGGGCCTGACATCCATTTAAATAACATTATAGCAATGTGTCTATGATCACCCACCACCTACATTAATGTGTAGAAGGGCCGCCAGAAATACGGTAAATGCAGAGACCACGTACCTTGCCTTTACCAGAAGACACCATACAAGGATCGATAGAATCATCATAGAAGTGAAACCACACAGATGTCATCGGAAAGACCCCTGTCTAGTGTATATAAAGGGGCCATGTGAATCAGGTAGTCCTGGATCGTTTGATAAGCCCTCCAAGCAAGATGCACACCATGAACAAACTTCTACTCACTGTTCTCCTGACCTATCTGGGACATTCGGGTAAGTCTCTCTGCTGAACTCAATGGACACACATCAATGAGATTCTAACATTTTCCTATTACCTCACGGTTTAGTTCATTGTGGGTGTTTTTACTACTTTTACTCTCTCAGTTGCATTTGGGGGTCAAATCATCGAGGGGACAAAAGCCAAGGAGAATTCCCTGCAGTACATGGTCTCTGTGCAGAACAATGGAACGCACACCTGTGGAGGATTCCTGATTAGTCCAGACTTTGTGCTAACCGCTGCACACTGTAACAAAGGTACAGTAGTAGCTTAATTCAATTACAACTATACATTCCAAATAGTAACATACAGTTGAAGTCGGAAATGTACATACACCTTAGCAAAATACATTTAAACTCTGTTTTTCACAGTTCCTGACATTTAATCCTAGTAAAAATTCCCTGTCTTTGGTCAGTTAGGATCACCACTTTATTTTAAGAATGTGAAATGTCAGAATAATAGTAGAGAGAATTATTTATTTCAGCTTTTATTTATTTCATCACATTCCCAGTGAGTCAGAAGTTGCCTTTAAATTGTTTAACTTGGGTCAAACGTTTCAGGCTTGTAGGCCTCCTTGCTCGCACACGCTTTTTCAGTTCTGCCCACAAATGTTCTATAGGATTGAGGTCAGGGCTTTGATGGCCACTCCAATACCTTGACTTTGTTGTCCTTAAGCCATTTTGCCACAACTTTGGAAGTATGCTTGGGGTCATTGTCCATTTGGAAGAACCATTTGCGACCAAGCTTTAACTTCCTGACTGATGTCTTGAGATGTTGCTTCAATATATCCACATAGTTTTCCTTCCTCATGATGCCATCTATTTTGTGAAGTGCACCAGTCCCTCCTGCAGCAAAACACCCCCACAGCATGATGCTGCCACCCCCGTGCTTCACGGTTGGTACGATCTTTGTCCCCATGTGCAGTTGCAAACCGTAGTCTGGCTTTTTATGGCGGTTTTGGAGCAGTGGCTTCTTCCTTGCTGAGCGGCCTTTCATGTTATGTCGATATAGGACTCGTTTTACTGTGGCTTTAGATACTTTTGTACCCGTTTCCTCCAGCATCTTCACAAGGTCCTTTGCTGTTGTTCTGGGATTGATTTGCACTTTTCGCACCAAAGTACGTTCATCTGTAGGAGACAGAACGTGTCTCCTTCCTGAGCGGTATAACGGCTGCGTGGTCCCATGGTGTTTATACTTGTGTACTATTGTTTGTACAGATGAACGTGGTACATTCAGGCGTTTGGAAATTGCTCCCAAGGATGAACCAGACTTGTGGAGGTCTACACATTTTTTTCTGAGGTCTTGGCTAATTTCTTTTGATTTTCCCATGATGACAAGCAAAGAGGCACTGAGTTTGAAGGTAGGCCTTGAAATACATCCACGGGTACACCTCCAATTTTCTGGAATTTTCCAAGCTGTTTAAAGGCACAGTCAACTTAGTGTATGTAAACTTCTGACCCACTGGAATTGTGATACAGTGAATTATAAGTTAAATAATCTGTCTGTAAACAATTGTTGGAAAAATTACTTGTGACATGCACAAAGTAGATGTCCTAACCGACTTGCCAAAACTATAGTTTGTTAAAAATAAATTTGTGTAGTGGTTGAAAAACGAGTTTTAATGACTCCAACCTAAGTGTATGTAAACTTCCGACTTCAACTGTATCATTACATATAGCATATCAGTGTCCTTACTACTCAACAGACCGATAAACACTGATTGTTCTGCTCCTTGTCTAGCAACTTGAGTGTTGTTCTTGGTACCCACAACATCAAGAAGGGCCTTGGGAAACCTGTCAGTTACAACGTGGAACGCAAATGCAAACCCACCTCATATAAAGATGTAAAGACGGGTAGTGACATCATGCTTCTAAAGGTAGGGCTTTAGTTAAATATATTTATTTCAATAGGATTTGTCTTCATATGACCATTTACAGAGTATCCTAAAAGTGCTATAAGGTCATATACTTTCATAACTGCTAAACAGATTTTAAATGTGTTTCAAGCTGTCTAGGAAAGCTAAATTCAGCAAATCCGTGACCAAAATAAGGCTTCCAAACAAGGATAAAGTCCTCAAACCCAACACAAAGTGCCTTGCTGCTGGATGGGGCCCCACAAAAACAGGCGGCCCAATCGTTGACAACCTTCATGTGGTGGACGTGGAAGCCATTGATCTGAAGGTCTGCCAGGAGCAGTGGGATTCCGTCAATTTTAAACTTCCTGCCAATGTCATCTGTGCAGGTGGATACAATACCAACAAAGGCACATGTCAGGTTTGTCTAATTTAATTCAATTTACATTCAATACATGTACATCATACATGAAGATCCAAAGCAAGAACCGGTAAGCAATGTTTGGCCTATAAGGTGATTCTTGTCTCTCGCACAGGGGGATTCTGGTGGTCCTTTGGTGTGCAATGGAGAGGCAGTGGGCATTGTCTCCTTCAACATGTGGGGAAACTGTGACTATCCCAATGTGCCCAATGTTTACACTCAGATTTCCAAGTTCTTACCCTGGATAAAGAACGTCATCAAGAAGAAGTCATGTTAAAATGGATACTTCGTTTGCTGCAAAATTATGCCTTTGGCTATTACTTATACCTGCTGATATTACTGGTTCTTTAGTCTGCTGTTAAACTTGTTACATTGGCTGTCTAAGGCATTACCATGTACTGTAAGGGAAATAAATGTGTTATTAATTATGGTGAAATTGCTCTAGTGATCTGATTTGCATACACATCAGAAGGCATTGTGTGTAACACCTAAACAATTTTGCAGGCCAAACCTTTTATTTTTATTTTTCCAACCAGTGCTGGGCTAGATTTACAGTTGAAGTCGGAAGTTTACATACACCTTAGCCAAATGCATTTAAACTCAGTTTTTCACAATTCCTGACATGTTATCCTAGTAAAAATTCACTGTCTTTGGTCAGTTAGGATCACTACTTTATTTTAAGAATGTGAAATGTCAGAATAATAGTAGAGAGAATGATTTATTTCAGCTTTTATTTATTTCATCACATTCCCAGTGGGTCCGAAGTTTACATGCACTGAATTAGTATTTGGTAGCATTGCCTTTAAATTGTTTAACTTGGGTCAAACATTTCGGGTAGCCTTCCACAAGCTTCCCACAATAAGTTGGGTGAATTTTGGCCCATTCCTCCTGACAGGGCTGGTGTAAGGGAGTCAGGTTTGTAGGCCTCCTTGCTCGCACACGCTTTTTCAGTTCTGCCCACAAATGTTCTATAGGATTGAGGTCAGGGCTTTGATGGCCACTCCAATACCTTGACTTTGTTGTCCTTAAGCCATTTGCCACAACTTTGGAAGTATGCTTGGGGTCATTGTCCATTTGGAAGACCCATTTGCGACCAAGCTTTAACTTCCTGACTGATGTCTTGAGATGTTGCTTCAATATATCCACATAATTTTCCTTCCTCATAATGCCATCTATTTTGTGAAGTGCACCAGTCCCTCCTGCAGCAAAACATCCCCACAGCATGATGCTGCCACCCCCGTGCTTCACGGTTGGGATGGTGTTCTTCGGCTTGCAAGCTCCCCTTTTTCCTCCAAACATAACGATGGTCATTATGGCCAAACAGTTCTATTTTTGTTTCATCAGACCAGAGGACGTTTCTCCAAAAAGTATGATCTTTGTCTCCATCTGCAGTTGCAAACTGTAGTCTGGCTTTTTTAATGGCGGTTTTGGAGCAGTGGCTTCTTCCTTGCTGAGCGGCCTTTCAGGTTATGTCGATATAGGACTTGTTTTACTGTGGATATAGATACTTTTGTACCTGTTTCCTCCAGCATCTTCACAAGGTCCTTTGCTGTTGTACTGGGATTTATTTACACTTTTCACACCAAAGTACGTTCATCTCTAGGAGACAGAACGCGTCTCCTTCCTGAGCTGTATGACGGCTGCATGGTCCCATGGTGTTTATAATTCCGTACTATTGTTTGTACAGATGAACGTGGTACCTCAGGCGTTTGGAAATTGCTCCCAAGGATGAACCAGACTTGTGGAGATCTACAATTTTCTTTCTGAGGTCTTGGCTGATTTCTTTTGATTTTCCCATGATGTCAAGCAAAGAGGCACTGAGTCTGAAGGTAGGCCTTGAAATACATCCACAGGTACACCTCCAATTGACTCAAATGATGTCAATTAGCCTATCAGAAGCTTCTAAATCCATAACATCATTTTCTGGAATTTTCCAAGCTGTTTAAAGGCACAGTCAACTTAGTGTATGTAAAGTGAATTATAAGTGAAATAATCTGTCTGTAAACAATTGTTGGAAAAATTACTTGTGTCATGCACAAAGTAGATATCCTAACCGACTTGCCAAAACTATAGTTTGTTAACAAGAAATTTGTGGAGTGGTTGAAAAACGAGTTTTAATGATTCCAACCTAAGTGTATGTAAACTTCCGACTTCAACTGTAAATGAGCCAATCATGGCAAACTGTAATGCACAGAACCACAAACACCACCAATTTCTAACACTTTCAACAACGGTTAATGTAAGCTTCTCATTGCTCAAGTGTTCTCTATGCAATCAGACCCACCAGCAGAGTCTATTCATCATTTCATAATATCACAACCAGATTTCATCAAAGAGTCCACCAAGCAACATTTGAAACCATAAAGCCACAGCAACATATTGGCAAACACTGGGGGGGAGGAACAAATACCCAGTACTGTCTGTAACTTTGGAAATAGCCACATTTTGAGAAAGTAACACCCTCCCCCCACCCTACATATTTATACCCACGAGGTGCATCATGCCATTTGCCCATATGCACTATGGCAATCTGCTCAGTGGTTCTTCACATAGTTCTGCTCATCGCCTTGAATGGTAAGGTATGTTTAATTTCTATAACACACTAACTACCAATAGCACTGAACTGACTGCACCATGCAGACTAATATTGAAAAGTATAGTACTAGTTTCAATGCTTTTACATACAGCGGTTCATATTCTATTTGGCAGTAATTAACTAACTGACACACAGTACCATCATTTGTTGTAAGCTGTGAAGACACAGTAGCATTGCAGAGCTATGGACAAAAGCTATTGGAAAAGTATTCTCTACTTTCTGTTCAAAGGCACTGATGGGCGCAAGGTGCCGAAGGTGGGTATTGTTGGTGGCAGAGAGGCTGCTCGCAACTCTCGTCCCTACATGGCTTCCCTACAGTCCCGAGGTCAACACATTTGTGGAGGAGTACTGGTGAGAGAGGATTTTGTCCTCACCGCTGCTCACTGTGACGGGTGAGAATCTCTCTCAAACATTAACACATTCAACTCTCTCAGATTCTCTCAAACTAATTTCCCTCAAAGTTATTGCACTAGTCCTTCAAGGTAATTGTGCAAGTAAATACTGCCTCCTAAATTCTTTCATGTACTGATTTTCAGGCGATACAGGGTGGTTCTTGGGGCTCACGATTTGTCAGAGGATGAAAATTCACAACAAGTATTGGATGTGGTTCGATCCATTCCACATCCGATGTACGGGGACAACCTGGAGAATGACATCATGCTTCTCAAGGTGAGTGACATCAAGGACATAGTCTACAATAATCTCCATGGTGATACTAACTTCTCATTGTAGGTTTAACGTCCATGAAAATACATCAAATAAACTACAGAATCATGCACGACTGAAATAAAAAATAAGAATTATAGCCTAAATATATTTACATCATATATATCTGAAGACATACAGATTATGTATACAGTGTGTTATCTCTGTGATCTTTCCTAGTTGAGAGGGAGGGCTACCCTCAACACAGCAGTACAGTTGATCCCTCTGATGAATGGTTCCATGGCTGAGGGAAGCATGTGCACCACGGCCGGCTGGGGGGACATAGGCGATAACGGCACCCTACCAGACAAGCTCCAGGAGGTCAACGCCACCATCGTCCCACCCAGAGAGTGTGCCCGCAGGTGGAGCGACATCAAAATCTCCAGCCGCATGGTGTGCGCAACAGGCCCCAGAGCTTTCCAAGGCTTCTGCTCGGTATGACTGCACTGTTATAGGCTATAACTCTCTACAATGAGTTTTTCCTGGTCGGGACAGGCTATTATTGGCTACAACTTGGCTATAACCCCCTAGAGTTGATGTCTGCGCCCTGCAGAAATCGAATTAGCATAATACATAAATCCCCATCAAAATCTGTCAATTTAAACTAGAGATATCTGTATTTTTGCATGGGCTGCATCGTAATCCACCACATCCGCCAATGGTGGACTTCCGCATCTGCGGTGGAAGGTGGCCGAGCTACAGCGGTGTTTGTCAGACCATGAGACATCCCGAAAATCGATCTTATCATGAAAACATCTGTAGCGTCCGAACGGTTTGGCACACAAGCGTCACAGGACTGGTCTGAAGGTAGCCCGGTACCAGTTAAAAAAATGAGTGTAAATGTAAGTAGTATAAATATACGTTTCAGATAGATACCAAACATGGATAATATAGTATTATTATATCACACTCAATAGTCAGTCCTCCAGAGAGATACATTTTGGCCCCTCAGATGTTTCATCAAATCATTTATTTGTATTTTTTTGTTGATACCTTAAGGGGTCCTAGAATTCCAAATCCGCTAACTAAATTATCCTTGGTATGAGCATCTTAAAACAATTCCATATGTTAGCTTAGTAGACCTCCCCACACACACTGCTTAGACTCTTAAGCAGTGGAGGCTGCTGAGGGGAGGATGGCTCATAATAATGGATGGCACGGCGCGAATGGAATGGCATCAAATCATGTGTTTGATGTATTTGATACCATTCCACCTATTCCGCTCCAGCCATTACCACGAGCCTGTGCTCTCCAATTAAGATGCCACCAAACTCCTGTGCTCTTAAGGTAACTTGAATAGAGTTTCTCCTGGTCAAGGCCCTAACTATGCTAAACTACTCATATTTTTTTCTTTGCAGGGTGATTCAGGAGGTCCGTTGGTGTGTAAAGGGATGTCAGCGGGCATTGTCTCTTTCTCAGGGCAGAGGTGTGCCAACCCCAGTACCCCTGATGTGTACACACGAGTGACTTCCTACCGCCGATGGATTCAGACAGAGTTAGCTAGAAACCCTTAAAGGGAAAATCCACTCAAATGTTTTAGAATTGTTTTCATTAGTCCACTGTTGATACAGTCCCAAAATGTTTTGCATTTCAGCAGTCAAGTTTTCAAGATATTGGACTCTCAAGAAGCAAAATGTCACTGGCCACATCATCATGATGATGCACATTTTTTTAGTGGATTTTGCCTTTAAGTTTTTGGGCATGTAAGCCACCAGTGTGTGTTTACACAATCTCACCATATAACTGATGATGATCTCATTTAGACCAGGGTTGCCCAAAGTTTTTTATTGAAGTGCTAAAGATGGCACTTTTTTCTGATCGCTTGTTCCCTTGTTGCCATTCTTATTAAACTTGGTTAACTCATTATTATTTAGCAAAAATCCTTGGGCCATAATTTCTTGACTTGGTGTTCAAAGACTGAAAACAACCTCCACTGAATTAGTTAATTTTGTTAACAAGGAACATGTAAAGTAAAAACAAAACAATTTGAAATTAAGATAAGCAGACTCTCTACATATTTTAGGCTCTTGGTCACTCACCTGCTACGGCTGGTCAGACTGTAGACTCTGTATAAGTTGGCCAATGTTACTGAAGGTTGGACGCATTGTTGGCTCCAGCAGGTTCCAGCAAATCCCTATGATAGTGTACTTGAGGAGAGGATTCCGTGTCAGATACTGCAGGTTGTCAGACTATGTCATTGATTGGTGTGCTTGATTGATTAATCATTGCAGTGTTATTGCCCATCTCAAAGCATAATGTAGCCTGTAAAAAAGTATACCCAAACGCGCTTCAGCCCAGCTTAAACAAAACAGGGGGAATGAGGTACTCGACTGAGGAGCTTGAAAATCCCCCAAAAATGCATTACCCCAGGATACTTCAACTGGTGACTATCCGGGAGAATAAATAAAAAGGAGCACTCTGTTTCTGTGTAAATCTAATAGATTTATTAACGGGATAAACAAACAATAGGTTTATGTTTCAGCATTAAGGAGGAGTGTCCCACTTGTCTTGTCAATCAAACATGTCAATACGGTCAATACTGTCAGTAGCAACTAGACAGGTTATTCAAACAAGAGTATGATCATCATTCAAGATTCTTACACATACATTCCACTTAAATAACAAAATTAAATTAAAATAAAGAAAGAAAAACATATTTACAAAAAAAGATGAGAAAGAGAGCTGTTCATTCAGACCCTTTGGCTCGACACAACCTAAACAGTCGATCCAAAGTACCTCTCTGTAATCATCTCCTCACAATATTGCACACTCTGAAGGAAAGAGAAACTTTCTCAATTCCCCAGAATTTCAAGGTTTAGGCTGAGCTATGATTGGCATTCACATAGTACCGCAAGATCGCATAGTCCATATTTTTGGTGCAGATAGTTGTTTTGTGTTCAGTGATTCTTAATTTGAGCGCGCGTTTTGTCTGACCAATGTAAACAAGACCACATGGGCATTTGAGCATGTAAACAACATGTGTTGTACTACAATTTTACACGAGCGTGGGTGGTAGAATACTTTTGTGTCACTTAAGTTGGAACAATGTATACAATGACCGCAGCGGTAGAAACCATTGGGGGGAATTGGGTAGAGGGTGCAGGATTCGGGAGCACACTGTGCACTAGGTAGTCTCTGATATTGCTACCCCTCCTACACATAATGTAGTCTACTCACATCTCTGGAGGGGTAAAGTCCGGCTGCCTGAGACCTGTGGCATCTTCTTCTATGATATAATGGCGGTCTGCAAACCAACGTTAAAGGTGCATGCCGCCACCTACTGTGCTGGAGTGTATGGTCAATCACGGTTTACAACATTTATAAATCCTCCTACCTAACTCAGTACTTCTGAGAAAATAAAAGCCCTTCTAACTTCTAATAGACCCTCCCCCATCCCCAAAATTCCTTTCAACCCCCCCCCCCCCCAAACCCGTCCAGCCTCAATCTTTCCATTCTCTTCAACATACTTACAACAATATAACAACAAATGCTCCACTGTTTCATCGACCATACACTCCAGACACAAACCCTTCACTTGCATGCCAACCAGATGTAATGACGAGTTCAATGTACAGTGTCCTAAGTGCAATCGAGCAAACACCACCTCTTCCTTCCTAATCTGACCTTTGAATCTTGGTCCACAGACCTTTCTTTGGAGGGCATATAAATGCCAGCCCTTGTGCTCAGAGTCCCATGTCTTCCGCCACACATCTATCAAAATGGCTCTGATCTTACATTTGGCCTCACCTCTACACAGTGGAACATTAATATCAATGATATCTCGTTTCAAAGCTCTTTTGGCTAACTGGTCTACAATTTCATTCCCTTCCACACCCGAATGTGCTGGGACCCATCAGAATCTCACTACTACACCCATTCTCTCAATTCTCCATAATAACATTAATACCTCCAATAGTAGGTCACTCCTATTAGATTTACCAGGTGATAAACTATTCAACACAGACAGAGAATCTGAGCATACTATATTCATCCCCCTTGGCATTTTTCCTATTTTGTTGCCTGGAATTAAAATGGATTTTTTGGGGGGTTGTATCATTTGATTTACACAACATGCCTACCACTTTGAAGATGCAAAATATATTTTTTGGTGAAATAAACAAGAAATAAGACCAAAAAAACAGAAAACTCCAGCGTGTATACAGTGAGGGAAAAAAGTATTTGATCCCCTGCTGATTTTGTACGTTTGCCCACTGACAAAGAAATGATCAGTCTATAATTTTAATGGTAGGTTTATTTGAACAGTGAGAGACAGAATAACAACAACAAAAATCCAGAAAAGCGCATGTAAAAAATGTTATAAATTGATTTGCATTTTAATGAGGGAAATAAGTATTTGACCCCTCTGCAAAACATGACTTAATACTTGGTGGCAAAACCCTTGTTGGCAATCACAGAGGTCAGACGTTTCTTGTAGTTGGCCAACAGGTTTGCACACATCAGGTTCGAGTGGGATTTTGTCCCACTCCTCTTTGCAGATCTTCTCCAAGTCATTAAGGTTTCGAGGCTGACGTTTGGCAACTCATAACTTCAGCTCCCTTCACAGATTGTCTATGGGATTAAGGTCTGGAGACTGGCTAGGCCACTCCAGGACCTTAATGTGCTTCTTCTTGAGCCACTCCTTTGTTGCCTTGGCCGTTTCTTTTGGGCCATTGTCATGCTGGAATACCCATCCACGACCCATTTTTAATGCCCTGGTTGAGGGAAGTAGGTTCTCACCCAAGATTTGACGGTACATGGCCCTGTCCATTGTCCCTTTAATGCGGTTAAGTTGTCCTGTCCCCTTAGCAGAAAAATAACCCCAAAGCATAATGTTTCCACCTCCATGTTTGACGGTGGGGATGGTGTTCTTGGGGTCATAGGCAGCATTCCTCCTCCTCAAAACACGGCGAGTTGAGTTGATGCCAAAGAGCTCGATTTTGGTCTCATCTGACCACAACACTTTCACCCAGTTCTCCTCTGAATCATTCAGATGTTCATTGGCAAACTTCAGACGGGCATGTATACAGTGGGGGAAAAAATTATTTAGTTGTTTGGGTGTAGGGACTGATCAGAGCCTGAAGGTACGGAGGTGCCGTTCCCCTCACAGCTCCATAGGCAAGTACCATGGTCTTGTAGCAGATGCGAGCTTCAACTGGAAGCCAGTGGAGTGTGCGGAGGAGCGGGGTGACGGGAGCCCAGTTCGCTGTTGGCTGGGCTCCCTGCCTGTGCCATTAAACCCCTACAACTCATCCAAAATGCCACAGCCCGTCTGGTGTTCAACCTTCCCAAGTTCTCTCACGTCACCCCGCTCCTCCGCACACTCCACTGGCTTCCAGTTGAAGCTCGCATCTGCTACAAGACCATGGTACTTGCCTACGGAGCTGTGAGGGGAACGGCACCTCCGTACCTTCAGGCTCTGATCAGTCCCTACACCCAAACGAGGGCATTGCGTTCATCCACCTTTGGCCTGCTGGAACCCCTAGCTATGCGGAAGCATAGTTCCCGCTCAGCCCAGTCAAAACTGTTCGCTGCTCTGGCCCCCCAATGGTGGAACAAGCTCCCTCACGACGCCAGGACAGCGGAGTCACTCACCACCTTCCGGAGACACTTGAAACCCCACCTCTTTAAGGAAGTAATCCTTCTACCCCCCCCCCCCCCCCCCCCCATTTAAAAATAATAATAATAAATAAATACATCTTGTAAAGTGATTATCCCACTGGCTATAAGGTGAATGCACCAATTTGTAAGTCGCTCTGGATTAGAGCGTCTGCTAAATGACATAATGTAAATGTATATGTGCTTTCTTGATCAGGGGGACCTTGCGGGCGCTGCAGGATTTCAGTCCTTCACGGCATAGTGTGTTACCAATTGTTTTCTTGGGGACTATGGTCCCAGCTGCCTTGAGATCATTGACAAGATCCTCCCGTGTAGTTCTGGGCTGATTCCTCACCGTTCTCATGATCATTGCAACTCCACGAGGTGAGATCTTGCATGGAGCCCCAGGCCGAGGGAGATTTACAGTTATTTTGTGTTTCTTCCATTTGCGAATAATCGCACCAACTGTTGTCACCTTCTCACCAAGCTGCTTGGCGATGGTCTTGTAGCCCATTCCAGCCTTGTGTAGGTCTACAATCTTGTCCCTGACATCCTTGGAGAGCTCTTTGGTCTTGGCCATGGTGGAGAGTTTGGAATCTGATTGATTGATTGCTTCTGTGGACAGGTGTATTTTATACAGGTAACAAGCTGAGATTAGGAGCACTCCCTTTAAGAGTGTGCTCCTAACCTCAGCTCGTTACCTGTATAAAAGACACCTGGGAGCCAGAAATCTTTCTGATTGAGAGGGGGTCAAATACTTATTTCCCTCATTAAAATGCAAATCAATTTATAACACTTTTGAAATGCGTTTTTCTGGATTTTTGCTGTTGTTTTTCTGTCTCTCACTGTTCAAATAAACCTACGATTAAAATGATAGACTGATCATTTCTTTGTCAGTGGTCAAACGTACAAACTCAGCCGGGGATCAAATGCTTTTTTCCCTCACTGTAATTATTCACACCCCCCCCCCCCCCCCAAAGTCAATATTTTGTAGAGCCACTTTTTGCAGCAATTACAGCTGCAAGTCTCTTGGGGTATGTCTCTATAATCTTGGCACATCTAGCCACTGAGATTTTTGCCCATTCTTCAAGGCAAAACTGCTGCAGCTCTTTCAAGTTGGATGGGTTCCGGTGGTGTACAGGAATCTTTAAGTCATCCCACAGATTCTCAATTGGATTGAGGTCTGGGCTTTGACTAGGCCATTCCAAGACATTTACATGTTTCCCCTTAAACCACTCGAGTGTTGCTTTAGCAGGATGCTTAG